TGACGGAGAAGTTTTTTCTGAGCTGCAGATGAACTCGCAATCAACGCGTCTCACTTTCTTGATTCGTGCGATTTTTTAAGCGAATTAGCTTAATGAATCACTTCGCCTAACATCCCTATCGAGCATATCTCATTCGCCGTGACCAATGGGAACGCCATGCACTTAATGCACTCGACATTCCTTGAGGGAAAGAGCCCCAAGAATATCCACTCGTTTCTTTGTGCTCAATTGCTTGTTGCCTGGAAGCAGGGGTCAACCCTAGAGTTCATGATTCATGGTTTATTATTGGTTATAAAAGAAAACACAACAAAGTAACATCAAAATTACCAATAGAACAGCATGTAAAGGTAGGAAAATACAAATACAAATCAGCAAAGAGTGTAGCGGGGGAAGTGGCTGCACATGGTGGTGAAGAGCAGTGGGCCGCCAGCACTGCAAGCCGCGAGCAACAGAGCGTCTCCGGATACCAACTTAGTAGGTCCGTCAACACCACCATGGTCCATGCGATAAACTAGGGTCTAGACAAGATTTACGGGTATGGTAAGTAAAATCAAACAAGTGGAGTGTTGCTACTTCTTCAAAAATTTTGCAATCGTCAATAGGACTCCACCGCTACCATCTGCCTTAGGGTGGTGCTCACACGATCCTTCTCACCCGCCTGACACAAGCCCCATCAAGGCTGTTTCCATACGTGGTAGTATTTAATACTGAGACCACTTGACACAGCGCAACTCCGCCCAATTGTTTCTCTCCAAGGAATCGAGGAGGGAGGGATAAATATATGTCAAAAACGGCGAATCCCTTAATCTTGCCTGTTTCACGCCTTATTAGTGAGATTCCCTCCAAAATCATCAAAAACCCGTAAAACGCGACCTTCTCCTCAACCGTAACCCTTTCGACTTCCACAAATCTTCACCCTCTACCTTCGACCTTTCGCCTATTCAAAATACGACCCCTCCTCACAAAATCCAAAATTGAGACCCCATTCGTTGGTACTTGATCCAAAGAGCGATTTCACTCTGCCTGGGCGCATTCTGATAACGCATTCGTCGTTCCTTTTATTTGTTGCTTTTTATCTGATGACCGTTGTACCCTGACCACAGTCTTCACTACGTATTGGTGTTGATGGTGTTAACGGACTGCTGAGATGGTACCCCAAGGCGCTCCTTCTACCGTGAGTTTCAGTGTTGGCTGGTCACTGCTCTTTACCAAAAAAGCTTCACCCTATTCCATCTGTCCTAAACGGATCGCACACCGATACCACCTGAAATAGGTGAGGTTCACCGCTGTAGTTTTCACCCATCCTCCCATTCATCGTTAAAGCTCTAAGCGAGATTGACGGTAATTGGCCTATTCGAAAAGGTGACAGGTTTGACTGGTACAATTAGGGGTAGATCGACGTTGGGCTACGTTATTTTCACATGTCAGAACGCTGACGGTGACAAAATGATTAATTATAAACCATTTTGGACTGAACAAACTTTCGCCCTTATTCACTGACTTTTTATGGAGCCATATAATGCAGCATAAAAATTTTTTTGATGGATATAAGCTGTGAATGCTTTTCTTCTCCTTTTGCCGCTATAAATGAGTATAGAAACAGATTTCGAAATGAATCTTGCCCAGGTTAAACACTCCTCCCTGAGTTCGGACGACTTGACAAATTATCCACAAGTAAAACGCTTATTCTTGAGCTCAGCGATGATGACAGATAACGTCATATCCTGAAGACGGTGAGGACAATGAAGGAGGGCCTGTTCCTGCATATGGAGGAACACCTATGGAATAATTTCCCATAAATTTTGCTCCCCATCCTGTCTTGTATACAAACAGGACTCCATAAACTACTTTTTGCTCGTGGCGCACCTCAGCTAACTTTTTCTCGCACGGAGTGGCGCCATCAGTGAAAGTCTCACAGCAAATATCCCTTTCAAGCCTCTTTATAAAAAGATGCAAACCCTTCTTCCTTAGCTGAATGTCTTCAGAATATGGGGTCATCCGCAATCGCCGTGGAGCTCATGGAGGCCTACCGCAGTTGCTCCGGCTTGAAACTAATATTCTTAGTCTTTTTGTGAATGAATAGCTTCCTAGAAAGGTCGCTCTTGTGTAAGACCCCACTTCTGACCAGCTTCTCAGATATCGCTGTAATGGTCCATCGACACTTTGCTGAACACAAACCGTGCACCATGTCTAACTGGCAGACTACTGCAGGACTTGTGAACTCGGGAATCGCTTGCAAATATTCTCTAGCTAATCTATGGAGTTGCAGAGTCTGACGCCGACCGAGCGAAATTTGAGGGGCACGAGCGTTGCGCCAGCGGTGCGAACGATGAAGCAGGAATTTAATGCTAGATTCGAACCGCTGGCGGTGTCAAACTTTGCGACTGCGACATTCGCTAGCGGGTCCACGAAGTCGCAGTAGGTATCGCTCGTGTAGATGGTATGAAGTCGGTCGTTCAACAGAACTGGATGTGCTCTTCAACCACCAGTTGAACGCAGCCGGTGTGTAGTTGCATTCGGTGTAAGTGCAGTTACGTCAGCTATAGACTTTGAGAAAAACAGTGTTCTTGCTTCATAAAAAACAAAGTTGTCAGAGTCAACCCTGCGTTGCGCAGTTCGCAACGGCACGTTGAGAGATCCTCAACGCACGCTGTATGGGCGGAGACGCAGACGGCTCGAGCATGCGAGTGTGAATGTTCGCGCGAAAGAACGTGTCTAATCAGGTGAAACTTTTCTATTTGAAGTTATGCCCTGGCTTACCGGACCGGCGGACGAGCCGGTCGGCGCCACGGCACAAGCTGGACAGCTGACCGCCTGACCTCCCGGTAGCACTGGACGCGTGGACCGCTGGATCACCTGGAAACCCTGGACAACCCGGACAGCCTGGACCCCAAGGAGAGCGTGGTATCTGTCCCAAATATTGTGCATTGGACGGAGGTGTTTTCTTCGAAGATGGAACACGACGATAAAGAAGGCTACAAGCAGATCACCTCGGGTGCTATATATTTGTATGTATGTAATAAAACGCTCCTTCAGAGTTTCTGGTCATTTGGTTCGATTCTTGCACCCTCTTGAATGGCTATATGGTTTGCAATGCCAATTTTCAGCTGAACATGGGAAAGTGAATCACCTTGAGATGTTATTAGGCGGAGGTCGTTGTTCAGGCTTTCTCTGCACCTCTCAAAGGAGGTCTGGCATGCTAGTTACTTCAAAAACTACCAGAGTGTGCAAAAATACAGCCATGGCAAACATGCCATGGCTTTACAAACCAGTTAATCTTGTTTGCGGCATTCATCGTATAACTTTTTCTACGCGAGTGGAATGCATGGCTCATTCCAAAAAACCTCAGTGAACATCGTTTTTTCTTCATATGTTCCAATTGTCACAGAAATTCCTCTCCACTCTTTTCTGTGGGTGAGAAATCTCTGAGAAATCTTGGGGATTTTTCTATACAACACGTATCAGGGTTGAAAATCTAAATCTTTTTTCCAATGCGAAACTAGATCCAAGTGAATGTCACGTAGCGCGAAAATCCGCTATTGCCAAAATTGCTGAAGACGATTGGTGAAATTACCACAAAAACAGCGCCGAAATGGAAGAAAGTTGTTGCGAAATCTTAAGAAACTGACGGAACTTTGCCTACATAGAAAAGCCTACAAGGTTAGAGATCGAAATAAAATCACTCTAGTGCACAAAGTCTGGCCCTCATTTAACTTAGCATTGCAATCGAGAGGCTCTTGCAGTATGAGTGGATACGGATTGGATCCGGTTTTGGCAGCGGAATCTTCCGCAACCCGATGCATTTGTGAAGTAGAAAGGAATCTACGCTTGGGGAAGGCAAGGGAAGATATAATATCATAGTTTTAGGCGAGGTAGTTATCTGCAATTCCTACAGATTTGGATCGCCTTTCAACATTCTTCTCCAAATTAGTAAGATAAGAAATAAAAAACCAAGAA